GAAATGGAACAAAGCTAAGAGCAACAAGAATTATAAAGGTTCTTTTGATATGATTTGCTTTGAATGTAAGATGCCGGGACATGTAAAATCTATTTTCCCCATACTTAAGGCTCACCCAACCAAGGAAAAGGGTGAGGAAAAACCTAAATTCAAGAAGTGCAAGCTAAGAATCCAAAAGGCTTTTTAGGTGGATTCTACATATTACTCCTTGAAACTGAGGTTAAAGAGGAGATAAAAACTTGTGTTTTATGGTGGATGATAATCTTAGTCACTATGACTAAGAAGATGAAAATAAATTAACACACGGTCAATTGCCTGAAGTTTCTGAGAAAATTTATTCATCTTATAGAAACTTTAAAAAATCACATGCTAGCTTGAAACTGGAATTTTTGAACATACAAAAAGAACATGAAGTTTTGATTAAAGATCATTCTACTATGGATTGTAATCATATAAATTTCTTGGATTAATTTAATTTGTTGAATGCAAAGTAAATTGATTCAACAAATGAGCATAATGACTTGAAAAGTGTATATGTTGAGCTAAAAAAGGCATATAAGGACTTAGATACTCTTGCAACTGATTTAGATAGTACGGAGCATGCTTTCAAAATAGAAATTTAAATTCTTGAAAATGAAATAAGTTTTTAGAAGAAAAATTAACTGCTTTCAAAGAAAAGAAAAGACCTCCTATATTGCTTGAGTTTCACAATCAATTAGATTAGCAAGCATCATTCAAACCTAAAAAAAGGTACTATTATCCGAGTAGATTAGTAAACTCTTTTCCTGATATTAGATATTTTTCTTGTGATATATTAGGATATATCTCCCACTCATGTACCATTCATCATAGAACATATTTAGTGTGGAGACCTAAAGTTCAAAATTTAAAACATAAAAAAGCATGCATTTCATTCTTCTTTCCATAAGATTGGACCCAACCCTATTTGGGTTCTCAAATCTAACATATGATGATTTTGTAAAAGTGCTCTCACATAAGACCTCATTAGATCATGTCGTACCTGGATAGCAGATGCTCACACCATATGACTAGAGATATTAATCAATTTATTTCACTAGAGGCCAGAGCTGGAGATAAGGTCACTCTTGGAGACAACACCACCAAGAATGTGGTGGGAATAGGTATAATCAGAAACTCCAATAACTTTTTGATTTAAAATGTTTTATTTATTGATGACTTAAAATATAATCTGCTAAGTTTAAGCTAGCTGTGTGAAAAAGGCTACATAATTAAATTTCAAATTGCTAGCTACATCATAAGCCTGATTGAAAAAATTATGTTGTGTGGAAAAAGGATTAAATAATTTTTACATGATTGATTTAAATTCTTTTAATTTTGATAACACCCTTTACCTAAAAACTATTGATGATGAGTCTTGGTTGTTGCATAGGAGGTTGTGTCATGCTAGAATGAAAACACTTATAAAAAAATAACCCAAAAGGACTTAGTAGGATCCCCAAGCTTGAATACACTAAGGACTACATGTGTGATGCCTGTCAATTAGAGAAATAGGTCAAATCCTCTTTCCATTCCATAAAGGTAATTAGCACCTCTAAATCGTTAGAAGTCCTTCATATTGATTTATTTTGACTCATTAGCACTACAAGCTTAGGGGGAAAGGTCTTTGGGTTTGTAATAGTTGATAACTACTCTAAGTTCACTTGGACTATATTTTTGTCACATAAAAATGAATCATTCGATGAAATCAAATTATTCTCCACTTGGATTCAGAAAAAGCGAAGTTGTGATATCTTGACCGTCCATAATGACTATGGTGGTGAGGAGTTTGAAAATGAGAGATTTGAAACTTACTATGAGAAGCAAGGGATTAATCATAACTTCTCTATTCCTAGGACCCCTCAACAGAATGGGGTAGATGTAAGGAATAACATGACCATAGTGGAAGCCGCTAGAGCCATGCTTGTTGAGTATTCACTTGTAAAATACTTTTGGGCATAAGCAGTGAACAAAATCTATGATGTATTGAATAGGGTGAATGTTAGATCCAAACTGAACAAGACACCCGATCAGATCATTAAAGGTAAGACACCCAACCTTTCTCAACTCAATGCCTTTGGTTGTAAGGTTTTCATTCTAAATAATGGGAAAACACTCTTACAAAAATTTGATCCAAAATTTGATGGAGTGTTTTTAGGCTATTCAAGTTTAGTGAAATTCTATAGAGTGTTTAATAAGAGGACATTAGTGGTGGAGGAGACTACTCATATAATGCTTCATGAATCTAATTCTAACAAGTCTAGGGTTGAGCAAGAAGATGAAATTGGTGAGATTACCTAAGGAGTAGAAACTACAAATCTGGAGGAAATGGTAGAACCTCTAAACACTTTTCTTAGAGAATGGAGATATTCTTTGAGTCATCCTAAAGAACTAATCTTATGAGACCCTTCTGAAAGTGCTAAAACTAGGCATGGACTTAGAAAAAAAGTAAATCACTCTGCCTTCATTTCAATGATTGACCCACTAACCTAAATCAAGCCTTATCAGATGAATTTTGGATCTTAGCCTTGCAAGAAGAACTAAATTAATTTGTTATGAATGATGTTTGGGAGCTAGCTAGAAGACCTAAGGACCAGAGTATGGTTGGAACAAAATGGGTTTTCAAAAATAAAATGAATAGTTCTAGAGTAGTAGTGAGGAATAAGGCAAGATTGTTGCCTAAAGGGTATAATCAAATAAAAGGAATTTATTTTGAGAATACATTTTCCTACTCTAATTAGATATTGGAAGCTATTAGAGTGCTACTATCCTTGCCTGTTATAAGTAATTTAAGCTTTTCCAAATAGATGTCAAGAGTGCTTTTTTTAAATAGGGTAATAAAAGAAGATGTATTTGTAGAGCAACCACCAGGCTTTGAGAATTCTCAATTTTCAAAACATATTTTCAAATTTAAGAAAGCTTTGTATGGATTGAAACAGGCACCTAGGGCATGATATGAAAGGCTTAGCACATTCCTACTAGAAAGGGAGTTTGTTAATGGGAGCATAGATACCACCCTTTTTCTGAGGAGAGTGGGAGATGAATTACTCATTATCCAAATCTATGTTGATGATATAATTTTTAGATCTTTCAATAAAAATATTCTTGGAGGTTTCATTCTAGAGAGAGAAGCTGTGGTTTGTTCTAGAGAGAGAAACTAATCTTGATTTGATTTTCTACTTTCGCGGGCTTTTCTGATCGGATTGCATTGGGAGGATGGCATTCCCTGACCGCCGGCAGTGGATTACTGGCGGTAATGTTCCATCTTACACTCATCGTAATGTTCTTCTTAAACTGGTTGATCAGAAATCCGTCAGAAATCGCGGTGTTTCTTTGGATCAAGAATCACTCAGGATTTCTTCTAATTTGGTAATCAAAGAAGGTTATAGGCATCCATCGAGGTTAGATCCAATTGTGGAAGGGAAAGGCAAAGGTGTCTTTGTTGATCGTATTATGGAAGACGGAGTAATTCCAGGGTTTCCTTCGAAATTAGATACAGAGTCGTTTTCTTCAGACGTTGATCTGAAGGTAAAAAATCGTGCTGCTCTACTTGTTTCGAAAAACCAGAAATAGATTAATTTGAATCTTATGGGTGCTTTTGAGAAAGATGGAGATAAAATGTATGAGGTTATTAAATCGAATGGTGATACTGCACCTGTTAACAAATTCGTATCGGCCTGGCAAAAGACGTAACACATCAAATTGAATTTTAATGCTAATTCTACCCAGTTGACTAAAGATGGTTTAGCGGTGAAGCTAAACACTAATAAGGAAATAACAAATTCTCAGGTGTTGAAGAAATCATTGGTTATCAAGGTACTGGGATAGGACGTTCCATTCTCAGTTTGTAGTCAAGAACTCCGACGGCAATGGAGTATGTATGGAAGTTTTTATCTAATGACATTGGGTCGTAACTAGATTCTGTGTTCATTTGCTAATATGGATTCCATGGAGGAAGTTTTAAGTGGGTGTCCCTGGTATATTGGGAACCATATCATCGGAATGGATAGATGGTCATCTTCCTTTTCTACTGATTCACTTAAGGGTATTACTTCTCCTGTGTGGATTCGGTTTTTGGGATTGCCTTTGAGCTGCTGGGATGAGGAAAATATTCCCATGATTGCTTCTATGATTGAAGTTCCTATGATGCTTGATGGGAATTCATTTAAATGGTGGAAAAGGGAATATGCTAGATGTTGTGTTCGAATTGAGTTGGAGAAGAAACTCCCTAAGGGAGTGTGGATTGAAGGTATTCATGGAAGAACCTTTCAACGTGTGGAATATGAAAAGCTGGCATCTCACTGTTATCAATGTGGTAGAGTTGGTCATAGTAAGAATGTCTGTCCTGATTCTGTTTCTGCGTTGGATAAGGACAGAAGCAATCAAGATTCTAAGGAAGTTATGAAACAGAGTGATGTTGTGAAGGCTGATGGAAATAAACACCAAGATGAAGAATATGGCTCATGGATCCATGTTAACATTAGAAGTAGAAGATTCAAAAATGCTAGAAGGAATATTAGAGTAAATACTCAAGTTAAACAGGTTTATAGACCTGTTGAATCTGTTAAACAAGTGAAGGTTGTTGAACAATTTGGTGATTCACTTAATCCAGAAGGATTGATAAAATTCCTGAAACTGTGAATCTATTGAACTCCAGGTACAGGAAATACCTTTTGCTGTGAATAAATTCCAGGCGTTGGACTGTGACTGGGAGGAGGGAGAAGTTGTTGAGAAGGCTAGTGAGGAGCTGTTGAATAAATCCAATCAGTTGGATTCCGTTGAAGTTGTTGTTACTCCAGAATTTCATACTGTTACTGTTGTTTAGAATTGTGAAGATTAGTTGGTATCAGCTTCAAATTCAGGGAAATGTAAGCTGTCAAAAGAATTAAGGTCTTTGGGCCCTATGGAAACTATGCAAAGGAAGAGGAGGGGAGACAAGGAAAATAGTAAAAAGTAGGGGATATTTCCCCTGTTATTTCTTAATGGAATCTATCATCCTTTGGAATTGTAGGGGGGTTAGAAAGAGGGAGGCCTCCTTATATCTTAGAGAAGTTGTGAAAGATTACAAAGGTTTTCTTGTGGGACTTACTGAAACAAAGATTTCTTCTATTGATAGGAGTGATATTAACCAAATTATTGGTAGTGAATGGGATTATTTCAGTCATCCTTCGAATGGTACTTCGGATGGTATCTTAGTCATGTGGAAAAAGGAATTTGCTTCTTTTGAAATTGTTGATCATTCCTCCCAAGTGATAGTAGGACAGCTCAACATCAATACTTTGGGTAAATGGAACATTGCAACTGTTTATGGAGGTAAAGATGCTCAAACCCGTAGATCTCTTTGGAACAAGCTTGAAGATTGTATGAGTGCTGATGAGCCTTGTATCATAGGAGGGGACTTCAATTGTATCCTCTCTAAGGAGGATAAGAGGGGTGGAAAGAGGTTTGATCTTTCCAAAGGGTCTAAAGATATGAAGAAGTTTATGATAACTAATTACTTCCATGATATAGGATTTGTGGGTCCTAGCTATACATGGTGTAATAACAAGGAAGGGAATTCTAGAATTTGGGAGAGACTTGACAGGTGTATTTTAAATTCTATGGCTCTTCACAATATTCCTATGGCTAAGGTGCATCACTTGCCTAGAGTTGCTTTGGATCATGCTCCTATATCTATCAATCTAAAAGAATGTCAAAACCAAATCGGGTTTCTTAAGATTCGAAGATACGTGGTAGACTTATCTAGCCACTTGGAACATTATTCTCAAAGCTTGGAAGAAATTGGATTTTGGATCTAGTGCTGAAATTCTTCAAACGAAGCTGAGGAGATCTGTTAAAGCTCTTTATTACTGAAATAAAAACAAGTGTAGAGAACTGAATTTGTTAAGGGATGAGCTGAAAAAAGACATACTACTGTTACAAATTGAAGAAGCCAATGAAGGAGGCTTAACGGTAGACAAACTGAATTTGTTGAGGAACAAAGTTCATGATCTCAGTGTTACATTGGGTAGGCTTTCCACTTGGTGGAACCAAAGATCCAAAATCAGATGGCAATAGGTTGGAGATATAAACTCTAATTATTTTCATCAGTATACTTCGTCTAAGAGGAATGGTAATATGATATGGTAGATTAAAGAAGATAATGGGGCTTTGGTGGAAGATTTGGAGCAAATTGAAACTATTTTGTATAGTTTTTTTCAAAAAATATGGTCTGCCAGAGCTTGTATGCTATCGGGTTAGCCTTCCTGTCCAGAAAAACTGATTATTTCCAAGGAGGATGCTGATTCTCTGAAAATGGATTTCACTAAAGATGAATTGTCAAAAGCTGTCTTCATGCAAGGTAACAATAAATCTCCTAGTTTAGATGGCATTACTATGTCTTTTTCCAGATTTTATTGGAAAATTGTGGAGGAAGACACTTGGAAGGCTATTGATGAATTTTTTAAAACCGGCATCATGTTTATTGAATGGAAGGATACACTTCTTGTTCTTATCCCCAAAATAAAAAAGGCTATTTTACCTTCCAACTATAGACCTATTAGCTTGTATCAATCAACATATAAGTTTGTGGCTACAATGATTTTAAATAGAATGAAAAGTTTCATTGCTAAGTGTATCATAGAAGAACAAGCAGCTTTTCTTCATGGTAGATCAATGTCTGATCATTGTCTACTTTCTCAAGAGGTTATCCATAAGCTTAGAATTTCCAAGAGGAAAAAGGGTTTAATGGCGGTTAAGCTTGATATGGAGCAAGCTTATGATAGTATGAATTGGGAAACCTTATCACAAGTGTTAAACATGTTTGGATTTCCAAGGAAGATGAATTTGCTCATTATGGAATGTGTAAGGAATGTAAGATTTTCCTTTATTATAAATGGTAAAACATCCAAATGGATTTGGTCTAAAAATGGCTTTAGACAAGGGTGCCCTTTATTGCCATATTTGTACATTTTGTGCTCTCAACTTTTTTCCTTAGCTATGGAGCAAAGAGGTCAAGGATTGGGAATTCAGATTTCACAAAGAGCTCACAAGGTTAGTCACTTGTTGTTTGCTAATGATGTTTTGCTTTTCTCTTATGCTTCCAAAAATCTTGCCGCCAAGTTGAATAGTATTATTGTGGATTTCTGTTCGTGGACTAGATTAAGGGTTAACAATGCCAAATCCCAAATCTTGTTCAGTAAGGGTATGAACAAGGTGGATATGGTGCAGGTGAAGAAAATTATGAAGTTTAAAACTATTAAAGAATTTCAGTATCTTGGAGTCAAATTGATGTTGAGAAGACCGGTAAAAAATGATTTCAAATTTATTTTAGATTCAGTAATGCTTAAATTGAACACATGGGGTAGTAAATGCCTTTCTTTGGCTGGCAAAATGACTCTTGCTAAGACTTCTCTTTTAAGTCTTCCTAATTTCATTTCTTCCCACACTTTGGTTCCTAAGAAGGTTCTCCATGAGATTGATAGATGTTGCAGGAATTTTATTTGGCACTAAAATGATGGTAAAAAGGGCATGCACTACATTGCTTGGAGAAATTTGTGTAAACCAAAATCTCAAGGTGGGTTGAACTTTCACTCGGCATTGAGTAGATCAGGTCCTCTCAAGGCAAGATTAACTTGGAGACTGTTGAAGAATCACAATTCTTTATTATTTCAAAATATAACAACCAAATATGGTGATAGCTGGTGGCATAGAGGCTGTAGTTATGGTAAATCTATTGCTTGGAAAGTTCTGAAGGAAGGTGCTGTATACTTAAAGGCTCTTTTGAGGTGGAGAGTGGTTAATGGGAAGAAAATTGATGTTCTTAGGGACATTTGTCTGCTAGATAAAAGCTTAAGTGAGTGGCCAATTACAGCGAACTGTGTAGACATGGATGGATTTAAACTCAGCCATTTCATTAGAGATCATGGAATCTGGAACCTGGAAGAATTGAAGGGTTTTTTTACTGAAGAAATCATTACTTTGGTAATGCAGATACATATAGACAAGGATGCCAATGATGATTTTTTGGAGGAGATTAGCTTTCCCACTGGGAAAACTATAACTGCCCGTGCTTTGAAGCATCCAGAAAGGAGAATTATGGTGATGAAGACATGGGGTTTTATACTTGGTTGAGGAAATTAAAACTATCAGTACGTGTTGAGCTCTTCTAGTGGAGGGTCAGTAAAGAAGCAACTCCCACCAATGAGTTTTTGAAGCATAGAAAACTTACTGATGTAGATCACTGTACTAGAGGTTGTCAGAATGTGAAAATCTGGAGCATATCACTATCAGGTGTAAAGAACTACAGAAAATCTTTAAACAGTTATAGAATTGGGGGATCTATGTTCTGATCTTTGAATCCATGATTGAATGTTTAACTGAGTTGAAACTCCTCTCTACTATTACACCAAACATAGTTGGTCTTTATTGCAATGCGGTGTACCATAATTGGAAGAGTAGAAATGCTGTTAAACATGGGAAAATAGTAATTTCCATTCCTATTTTGGCAGCTAATGTGATTTATTCTGCAGTTAATATCTTTAATCCTGTCATTGATAGCTGGGGCGCTAACCTCCCTTGGGAGTTTCAAACTTTTTGGCACCCTCCACCGCAAGACTGGATTAAGATTAATGTGGATGCATCCCTCATGACTTATTATACGACTGGAATTTGAGGCTGTTTCAGAGATTATAAAGGAAGATCGTTGATTGCTTTTGGAGAAAAAAGAACGCATTGGAATATTGCTCATCTTGAAATGGATGCTATTATGACTCTTAGAAGACTCATTCAACCTTGGATGCTTGAAAGTAAAGGGGTAATAATTGAAGGTGATAACATCAATTTTATTCATTCAAAATTCTTTGAACAAGACCAATTGGCAAGGTTTCGATCGGATGGAGGAGGATTTTCTTTTCTTAACAGACTTCAATAAGGTAATTCTTCATCATGTTCATAGAGATTGTAATAAAGTAGCTAATTTGTGTGCTACTTTAGCTTTAGATACAAACTTTTACTTTGATAGTTTTTCATTTGCTAACATTCCTCCTTCTCTTTGTTTTTTGTTGAAGAAGGAATGTGAGCCGTTTCTTTAGTTTGTAATTAGCTTTATTTCTCTAATTGCAAATTGCATTTCTCAAAATAAAATAAATAAAATAAAAATTTATATGATAATTTTTCTAAAATAATGAGTAAGGAATTTAAGATGAGTATGATTAGAGAATTGTCCTACTTTTTGGGGTTTAACATAAGGAAAATGGATGATGAAACTTTTTTTAATCAATCAAAATACATTAAGGACATCTTGAAGAAATATAAAATGGATAAAGCTAAGATAATAAACACTCCAATGAGCTCAAGTGTTCAATTAGATAAACACTTAAATGAAAAATTAGTTTATCAAAATAAATATAGAGGAATAATTGGATCGCTCCTTTAGTTAACTATTAGCAGACCTGATATAATGTTTAGTGTTTGCCTTTCTGCTAGATTTCAAGTTGATCCAAAGGAGTCCAACCTGACTACAGTTAAGAGAATCCTGAGATATCTCTTAGGAATCCACAATTTAAGAATTTTGTATCCAAAGCATAGCACTTCTTTTGAGATTATAGGATATTCTGATTCAAACTTTGTAGGGTGCAAGGTGGATAAAAAGAGCACCTCTAGAATATGTCAATTCATAGGACAATCCTAAGACTCCTGGTCCAATAGAAAAATGAAACTCAGTTGCACTTTCCACTGTTAAATTTGAATATATAACTTTAGGAAGTCATGTAGCCCATGTCCTTTAGTTAAAGAAATAGCTTCTGGATTTAAGATTATTTATAGGCATAATGTCAATACTATGTGATAACACCAGCTCAATCCGCTTCTCTAAAAATTCAATCCAACATTCTAGAACAAAATACATTGACATAAGGCATAATTTCATTAGGGACTATGTTACTAAAGGAGACTTTGAGCTATACCATGTAACAACTGAAAACCAACTGGCTGAAATCTTTACTAAACCATTGACCTTTAAAACGTTTAGCATTTTATGGACCATATTTAAGGTCATAGATATTAATGCTTAAAATCATTGCTTTCTATTTTTTGATCTTTCTTTTATTTTTGTTCGCATGATTATTTCTGTCAATGTGCTTATATTTTCTATTTTTCATTGTTATGTTATTTTTCCCTTTAGTTTTTCTTAATAAAAGGTCACTACTGGAATAACATTTTTTGCCTTATTTTTTATTTTGAAAATTTATAAATAATGATTAACCTCCCTAAATTAGTTAAAGGAAGGCACATCGTTGATTGTTTCCTAATGCATATTGCAATTCTTCAAAAAAAAAAAAGTAAAAATCTATTTCAAATTAAAAGTTGACTTTGAAATTAAGATCTTTTCTATATTCTTACAGTAATATATCTCATATGAATAATGTTCAAAGTTATTAAATTACTTTCAAGTTTTCTTGATCACGTTATTGTAGTTATCATATAAATATGATTTTGATTTGTGGTTTATTCTTCCTTATATTAGAGAGTGGATTTCTTCTTCTCTTATATTTAGAAGATATTCTCACATTTGAGAGTCTTTAAGGGTTTTAAAAGGGAGCTAGCTCACAATAATGATAAGAGGCATAAAATAAGCCCAAAAGAAAATTGAAAAAGATGCGTAATGATCGAGAAATAATTAAAATATACACAAAGTGTATCAAAAATCAAAAGATATGCAAAGTACGCCAAATAACTGATAAGAGGCACAAAATGAGCCCACAACGAAATAAGTTTTCTTCTATTTTAAACATTTAAATCTTAGAAGAATTCATGTATC